ACCACTCAGCTAACGATGATCAATTAAGCCTTATTATGTGTCAGACACAATACAAGGTACCAGGGATAAAAAGATGAACAATGCAGATCAATATGGAAAGTGCTATGCTAAGGATACATAAATAGTGCCTTAGAAGGTAAACCTAGCTGTGTCTGGAGGAGAGGGAGAGGGAGGAAGGCTGAGGAAGCAATGCTAGCTGGAGGGTTTTAGCAGGCAACAAGACAGGGAGAGCTTGCCAGGCATATAGTAAATGCCCAGATATATCAGTAACAATCCAGTGGCAGAGCCTCATGAAGAATAACTAAGGAATACAAGATAGGACAAAGAATGGAAAGTAATAAACATTAATCAAAGGTCATTGGTGTGCCCAGGATACTGCTAACATTTTTACTGTAGTGTTCAGAGGAAGATGCAAGGAGGTGGCCTTTGTTCTGGTCTTATAGGTAGAGTAAAATTAGCAAGTGAAGGAGGGAAATAAAATTATTCTAGCTGAGAAAAATATGCAAAAGGCAGATATGTATGCAAGTACATGGCCACCATCTCTCTTCTATTTCCATTCTCACCCTAGAGACTATTCAGTCCTGTAGCATCAGATACCATTTTAAGTGGATGTCTCCTTTATTTAGATCTCCAGCTCTGAATCCTCCCTTGAGCCACCTATCTATACCTTCAGATGTTTGTATGTATGGAATCTCCACTTAAAGGTCTTACAGTTATATCAACTGTTTAATGTTCAATACTGAACTCCTGATCGTCTTTCTTTCAAACCTGTTGTCTTCCTCTCTTCCATCTCAGTATCAGTACCATCATCCAACCAGTTGCTTAGCAAAAACCTAGGCATCATTCTTTGTTGTTGTTGTTGTTGTTAATCCTCACCTGAAGATATTTTTCCATTGATTTTGGGGGAGAGTAGAAGAGAGAGGGAAAGACAGAGAGAAACATTGATGTGAGAGAAACACATCAATTGGTTGCCTCCTGCACAATCCTCGACCAGGGTCCAGGCTGGGGAGGAGCCTGCAACCAAGGTACAGGCCCTTGACTGGAATCCAACCTGGGAACCTTTGGTCCACAGGCCAATGCTCTATCCACTGAAACAAACTGGCTTGGGCTAGGCATCATTCTTGATTCCTCTTCTTTCAGCCTTCATATCTAAGCCCTCAATGAGCATTTGACTCCACTCAAAAGCACACATCAGATTTGAACACTTCATTTCCTATATTTGATCATAGCCAAGAAGCCAAGAAGTGATCTCACTTCATTTCCTGAGTGCAAGTGATCATTTTTGCCTTATTCTATCTGGTCTCCTCTTTCTCCTTTACTCCTCTACATCCATTCATCATTCAATAGCCAGAGCTATATTTTACAAGTATTAGTCAGGTCAGGTCACTCCTTGCTTTAAACACTTCAGTAGCTTTTCCTTTTTTCTAGAACTAAATCCTTGCCTAATATCTAGTCCCTATCTAGCTTGCCAATCTCACCTCCAGTCTTAACTCACACCACCTGCTCCAGTTGCACTGGCTTCTGCCCAGTTCTGAACATGTGCAAGGTCCTTCCCACCTAAAATTCCTACTTCCCGCAGTGGGAAGATCTCCCTTCATCTCATTCCATGGTTATCTCACTCATCATTCAAGTTTTGATCCAAATGTCATTTAAAAATTATGCCCTTTAATAGTTCTACCCACATTTTTCCAAATCTTCACCATACTTATTTTCTTCTTAGTATAATATTCTGTTCATTCATTTATCTCTATTTCTAGAAAGTCCTAGCTCAATGAGGCCTTATTTCTCTTTAATCACCATATCCCACGTACATGGCACAGTATCTGGCCCACAGCATGTACCATATAAACATTTGTTGAACAAATGAATGCCAAAATCAGTAATGTCTAAAGACTACAGATAAGGGTTGAAAGAATCAAATACATGAATACATTATGTAAAATAAGGATTGAAAAGGATCATTTGGTTTGATCCTTTGGAAGTCACTGGTGAGAGTAGTGAATTCAGAGAATAGTGAATTTGGAATGTATGAATGCCATGGGTGAGGAGTAAAATAGGAGATGTCAAATAATCTCTCTATATAAAAGGCTAATATGCAATGTGTCCCCTCGGGAGTTCGACCAGGAAACCGGGAGTTCAATCGCTCGCTATGACGTGCGCTGACCACCAGGGGCAGGGCGGAACATGGCGGGTGTCCAGTGGCTGCGGTGGGGTGCTGACTGGGTTTGGGGTGGGGGTGGGGGTGTGTGGAACCATTCTGACAGAGTAAGGTTATGGAAAAGTGGGATTGGGGAAAAGGATCTGGAGCCCAGGTGAGGGGTAAATCTTGGACAGAAGGAAGGACACCTCTTCCTTTGAGGGCCAAGACATCAAGGAAGATATCTTTTAGATATCTTGCCTCTCAAAGGGAGATAAATGAACTTTGTCTCCCTTATTTCTGATAAAGTGAAGAAGTAGAGGCTGGTATGGAGCTTAACATAGTGAACAGGTTTGGGAATACCACCATGAGAAACTGAGAGGCATTAATCAGGAATTCATAAAAGGAATGCTGATTGTCAATGAAGATTGTCAGTTGAAACCATGACTATAGCACCAGTTTCTATGATTGTGTAATTCATTCATCAATCAAATGTTTATTAGGTATATACTACCTCTCTATACTTTAGTTGCCGTTGGAAGTGCCAAGGTAAATAAATCACAGTTTCTGCCATCTCGTGGGGGAGAGAAACAAGTGTACTAATTAGAAAAGCCTTGTGATGAGGGCTATACTAGAGGATGGAAGGCTATAATGAAAGAGTTCAGAACTGGAACTGTTCTTGATGGTAATAGAATCCT